TCCTATAACACAAGGTGCAAGGCATCACGTGTAGCCCCGAAACNCATCTAAAACTTGCAGGATTGCGGCCCTCGAGGACCAGAGTTCGAGACTCCTGACATACAGTGTGAACATGCGACTGAAGTAAAGATTTCTAAGTCAGGAGCAGGAGAAAATGCTTATTTTGAGAAAATGATCGTTACCCTCTTAAGACCTGGCATCCACATGCCTGGACATCACAGTTTGGGTCATATTACCACAGTATTTAATTTTTTTAAATTAGATTTTATTGTTATTATTTTGTTATTATTATTTGATTGTTGTTATCTATTTTTTTATTATTTTTTTTATTTTTTAACAGTTTTTAAAAATTATATATTTTTTCTTTATATCTTTAAAAAAATATTTTTTTCTAATAAAGAAATAAAAATGCATATCAAACAAGAGCTCGGGTCTTAAGAGGTTAAAGATATGTATTATAAATAAAACCTATAAACACAGTCCGACAAAGTGTGGTAAAAATAAACACCTAAATGTGTGTTTTGGGTGTTTTTCATCCTGTCTGAAAGGAGACATGTCATGAAAGCAAAATATCCCAAAATGTCCAAAAAATAAACAAATAAATAAAAATTGGCACAACAATGATGTAACTGATGATGGTTTCCAAAACGCAGCCACACAGAACCATTGCTATCAAATAAATAAAGTAGAAAGGTCAGTGTTATGCTACCTGGAAGCTGTACTGGAGTTTATGTACACAGTTACACTGAACATGACATTTACTGACAATCCAGAACCTTTTGTTTTGTTCCTGCATCACGAAAACAAACATTCGTTGTCGGCAGGATTCGAACCTGCGCGGGGAGACCCCAATGGATTTCTAGTCCATCGCCTTAACCACTCGGCCACGACAACAGATAGCAAAACCAGTGGGGACGATGGAGAATAATTCCAGTCATAAAGCCGCTAAATCTTCGTTTTGAATTTGGATGATTTTAAAAGAAACCCCGCGCCATAGATGTACGGTGTCTGTGAAGCCGCTGCTGCACAGTTTCCCATGACGCCGCCACATGTTAGTGCTGAACACAGCGCCCTCTGGTGGCGGCGCACACCTGTTGCTGCTCTAGAGACTGATGCAATGTAGTAGTAGGGGGGGAAATAGAAGTGGAAGGGAAAATAATTGCAATAATTACAAAAAGAAGAAATGAAAAAGCTACTTCAGAGCAACACTTAGCATTTTTGTGTGAAATTGGAATCAGTGCTGACTCACAAACACTCATCTCTGGTGACTAATCAATTATTGCTTCTCTCGAAAAAAACAAAAACAAATCATAAGAATGTACAAATGGAAAGTAGTGGTTAACAAGCAGTTAGTCCCTCATTTGTGTGCCCCTTAGTGTAAGGTTTGACTATATTAACAGCACAGTAGTGGAGGAATCACACAGATACCAGAGTAAAAGCAGCAATACTGTAAAAACAGACCACTAAAACCACACATAGTGCAATTGAAATAAATGTTTATTAGGAGTCTGACCACTTACATATGTGGGTTACTTTAGTGTGTAAATGTGTCAGATTTATATTTTTATATGCTTTGTATTTAAGTATTTTGAAGGAACTGGTAAATAGTTGGTGAATCTAGTGGAGTAAGAAGTGTAACTCTATACATCTATTTTGCATTTGTC